CAGGATACAGCTTGCAGCAACAGTACAACAGATTTTTTTCCCCCATTGCTTTGCCTTTCCCTTTTCTGAATAAATACACTACAGACCTCTTTACCTAGTTACTATAGAAGGTTACCTTGAACATGGGGGAAAGATTTCTGATACTGAAGTTATAGGTAAGTATATCTAAATTCATTCCAATTCAATACACAGTATGCTATAAAGAAACTATGATAATTTTAAACCTGGAATTATGTATATCTCAGGAGCCAGACCCACAATATATCCTGAAACTGAGCTGACCAGTATGGACTGAATGCAAGCAGTCAGCTTTTGACAAAAAAAAAAAAGCCAAAGCAACATAATGATCTGGTGTTGACAATAATAATTTTTTAATGAAGCCAAAATATTAAGTTAATTAGCAGCTTTCCAGTTTCATTACAGCTTTTTATTTATCTAAACAAAAAGCTGTAATGAAACTGGAAAGCTGCTAATTAACTATATTTTCCCATTTCCTTTGGAAACTAAAGCTCTAGTTACAAGCTTTAAAATAAGCAAAACATTACCTCAAATCATAGTTCCAAAGCATAAAACCTTAGTTTCCTGCTTTAGACAAAAGAAACTTCGGATAACTAAAGATTTCCTAGTTTAATCACAATTCACATCAAAAGAAAGAGAGAAGATATTCTGTCCAAAGGTTTCTATATCTTGGCTTAATAAGACACCCCTATACCATCAATATCAAAGGAACACCAATAATATTCTGTGATCCCATGAAAACTTCCAGGTCAGATTCACTGATTAATCTAAGCAGCACTTTGGGAGAATTGCTTCTTGATTACATCTAGAAGAGGATAAGCTTCCATAGCTTTAAAAATGATTTCTGCAACATGAAGACTGTAAGATGGATGTGTATCTTACAGCCTCCAGTCTACTTTCAAACAGCTTTTAGACTAAATTTCAAAAGCTCTTTCAAAAGGCCAGTCTTGGCCTCTAGTAAGAAATATCTGCAATTTCCTTCAAGCAGCCTGTTGTTTGGAAGCCAAACAAAAAAAGAGATTTCAAATGTTTATTTCTCCATCTATTTTTGGCTCTAGTATAACCATATACATCCTTCAACAAAGTTCATGTGTAGTGATGTGTCCCTCAGCAAATAAAAGATTCCCTCCCCTGATATAAAATAAAGTTAGATCATTTGAAACCCTAGGACATCATGCGGTCCAAAAAAAGAGTTTGCAACCACTGAATCTCTCAACTGCTAAAAAAAAACAAAAACAAAAACAAACCAGGGTTTCCCATCAACTTAAAGTAATAAACAGATGAAACTGCAGTATAGGCCTTAAAGTTGGCATATTACAGGTAGTCATTGATTTACAACCAGTCATTTAATGACTGTTCAAAGTTACTACAATCCTCAGAAAGGGTATTTCATGCCCCATAAAGCATTTCCAGCTGATGTAAAAGGTCATGGCTCCCCCCTCCAGTCACAGTAATCATGATCTGGATGCTTCTGCAATCTTTTCACACTTACTGCCAGTTGCCAAGTGCCCCATAATATTGTGATTGCGATTTGCAATCTTCTCTCTATCTTCTTCAGAAAGTCAATGACCATGCCTGCCAAGGGGAGCTGAATTCCTTTGGTAAAGTGGATGAAACAAAGGGGGTTCTAATTTATCTTGACAACATCCTCATCTTTACAGAAACAATGGAAGAGCATATCAGGCTGGTTCGCGAAGTGCTTAAAAAATTATTAAAGGCAAACCTTTATGTCAAGCTATCCAAAAGTGAGTTCCATCAGACACACCTTGACTACCAAGGGTACCAAATTTCAAATGAAGGGGTGGAGATGGACCCAGAAAAAGTCAAGGCTGTTTTTGAATGGCAACCCCCTCGAACTACAGAGCTTTCTGGGGTTTGCTAATTTTTACTGGCAATTCATTCCCTCCTTCGCTAAAATAGCTCTATTGATTACTGAACTTTTGAAGACAGGTAAAGGGAGGGGGCAAAACCCCATCCCAGCCAACCTTTAAAATGGACTATAGAATGCCAAGCATCTTTTGAACAGGTTAAAAGGTTGTTTGCAGGAAAACCAGTCCTCAAACACCCTAACCTTGAGGAGTTCATCATCCAGGCGGATGCCAGTGATGTTTCAGTGGGAGCAGTTCTTCTTCAGAAAAACAACAAGGGGGACCTGCAACCATTTACACCTCCAGGAAACTCTCCAGCACAGAGTAGTGATGGGCTGTATGGGAGAAGGAGGTATTGGCTGTACAATGGGCATTGCTAACCTGGTGCCATTTTCTAGAGGGAAGTAAGATACCATTTGAGGTGTGAACTGACCATAAGAAACTTGAGGCACTTATAACCCTGCAGAAGTTATCCCCTAAACAGTTTGATGGGCACAATATTTCGATGAGGTACATTTCTGGAGGGAAGAACTTCCTAGCTGATGCCTTGTCTAGAATGCCACAAGTATAAAAGCAATCCTCTCTCCACAAAAAGCCTCTCAAGTCACCACTAGATATCAAACGCAAAAAAATCCCCCGACCCCAACAGCAGCTTGATCCAGAAATTCAGAACCGAACTGAAATCCAACCCCTGGTTCAGAGAAAATAAGCAAGAGTTGACCATAGAGAAGGATTAGCATGGAAAGACTCCAAATTGTACCTTCCTAGCACCCTCAGGTTCCAAGCCCTACAACGAAGCCATGATGCCAAGCAAGCCGGTCACTTTTGATTTTTAAAGACTTTATACTTAGTAAGACGGCAGTTCTGGTGGCCAGGAATAAAAAAAGATATTGAAAGCTATGTAAAGAGCTGTGCAATTTGTGCTGCCATGAAGAAAAGATCAGGAAAGCCCCTTGGTCTATTACAGCAGGTTGCAGAATCATCCCAGCCTTGGCAGGAAATCGCAATGGACTTCACTGTAGAACTCCCGGAAAATAGCGGAAATACCTTAATATGGACTGTTATTGACCTTTTCTCAAAGCAGGCTCATTTTACAGCCTGCCCTGGACTTCCCTCCACCCTGAAACTGGCGAAACTGTTTTTAAAACATATCTACAGACCCCACAGAGCACCAAGAAGAATTATATCAGATTAAGGGGTCCAATTCACAGCAAAATTCTGGAGGGAGTTCCTGAAGCTGATTGGATTCACCTCGGGGTTCAGCTCGGCTTTTGATCCAAATATGAATGGAGCTGCTGAATGTGCAAATGCAATGGTGGAATAATATCTGAGATGCTATGTTAACGATCAGCAAATTAATTGGGCAGATCTCCTGCCTTTTGTTGAAGTGGCATACTATAACACTGTACACAGCAGTACTGGACTTAACTCCATTCAAAGTAGCTACAGGCAGGGATTTCATTCCCATGCCTGAATACCCTCAAGAGCCCACTCCTCACAAACACTGACTGAGTGGGTAAACTCATTGAGAGTGCTTGGGCAAATATTAAACGTACCTTAGTCACAAAGATTCAAAAAGAGCAAGCAGATAAGAAGTGATTCCCCCAGAAACTGTTTCATATAGGGGTGAAAGTCTATCTTTAAACCAAATACCTAAGATTAAAACTACACTTTAAAAAGCTAGGACCAAAATATATTGGTCCCTTCCCTATCGTACGAATCATAAACTCTGACACAGTGGAGCTAAAGCTCCCACGACTCTTGGGAAAAATACATCCAGTTTTCCATTGCAGTTTGTTGAAACCAATTGTAGAATCAACATTGAGACCAATACCTTGAACTGCCTCAGGTCTCATTATGGTAGAAGGTGACACCCATTATGCAATAAAATGAATTCTTGATTCTAGAAGGTATAAGGGGAAATTACAGTACTTATTTCAATGGAAGGGCTATCCTTTGTCTGAGGCTACATGTGTGAAGAGTAAAGATGTAAAGGCAGATAGATTACTACATAAGTTTCATAATAAACATCCCAAAAACGTAAAGAACCCCCAGACAATAGAATAGGGAATTAGTGAAATACTAATGTATATCGATGCTTCTTATTTTCAAGAACTGCTTTCTCTTTAGGGGAGTTGCCAGAGGTTGAGGGGAGAAGGGGGGAAGAAAATGATAGCTTTACTAGACTAAACGTGGAGCAGTCCCGTGGGGAACCAAGACCATTTCCACAGGAGCTGGAAGGTGGAGAGAAGAGGTTTCACGAAGCCCACCAATTGCTTTTATTGGGTAGTATGATCTATAGCATAGTAGAGGGAAGGGAATTCTTACATTTAGTTACACTGAATTGCTAAGGCGAATTTTAGAGTTGGTTGCACTTTTGACTTTTTTTGTACCGATATTATGTATTCAGTAAACGTGTGTTTTGAGGAAACTTCAAGCCTCAGAGTTCTGATGTATTTGGTTTCATTAGTCGGAACCATGACAGATAGGTTTGAAAGAGCTAGACCAAGTAATGGAAGCTTACCCTGTCACACGGCACTTGAACCTGGGCTGTTAGCTTTCTAGCTAATAAGCTCAATGTCTTTAACCACTGGGCCACTGCGCCCCTCATCCTAATTATAAAATAAAAACAAATGAAGCTGGTACCCTGCAATACACATTAATTATGGAATGAACATTGACATTATTTTAATTTAAGATTACCAAAAAGACTACACAGTAAGATAGATAAAGTCTAAATTTTATTTGGATAAAGGGTCACATTTAAACTTAAATGAAATATAGAAAGAAGTACTAAAAGTCCAAATATCCAAAATAAATAAGATAGTGAGCCCAGGAGAAAAACTACATCATCTGATTTCTTTTTATTTTAAATTTACTTAAAATTATTTTAATTATCAAATCCAATATCACAATTATTTGCCAAGCACTTAACACTTTTCTACTTTTGTCTATTAAGCATTTCAACTCAACAGCAACTTTTTAAGAAGCTCAGGGGTGTCTGGGAGAATTTCAGGTGCCTTTGGGGTGCAAATTATGAAACCTTGACACACTGTATCTGGCACTAATCCAAAGCACCAAAGTTAAACTCCAAGTATAGAAGAAATCACTTGCCTCCCACTCCTGTAGGAAGTGCTGGGCCTCCTGAAGTCTGATGGATTTGTGTCGCCTGAATTCATCTTTCACATATTGATCTCCCAAGGCTTTCAGTTCCAGTGGCAACAAACGGTGAAGCTGAAGGATCTTTTTGTACAGAGTCCTTACTTGGGACACATGATGGTGTATACTGCCTGGCATAATGTTGAAGAAAGAGCACTGGATTATCTAATGTTGCTGCTTGCTTCAGTATTAGTTCTAGGGAAACAATTTAAAAATAAGTAGTCAGACAGATACCATTTTGTAGCCACTTAGTTAAATCTACTACAGTGCCCGCAATGGGTATAAAATAGATGCAGAAAGGGGGAGGGGGTATGTTTGCGACTTTTATGGTGCTTTCAACACACACAAAATCTCTGTAATCTATGTAGACAAAAAGAAAGGAATATTCAGAAAAATAGCATTCAGCATTCAGCCTCAGAAAATTTTGATTTTGGACTCCCCATTTGCTGGAAAATTACCACTAAACCAGGGGTAGGCAACCTTTGGCTCTTTTATGACTCATGGACTTCAACTCCCAGAATTCCTGAGCCAGCATGGCTGGTTCAGGAATTCTGGGAGTTGAAGTCCACAAGTCATAAAAGAGTCAAGGTTGCCTACCCCTGCACTAAACTGTAATATTTCAAGTGATAGGAAGAGAAAATCATTTTACACATACGTAATATTCAAATTATCATCATCTATTTACACAGATATAAATAATAAGGACTAGAAATTAAAAACATTGATAAGAAAAAGGAAAGATAGTTAATATCAACACTATACACTTTACCTTATTCATGCTATTTTCTCTTTCAGATTTATATGCCTCATTGCATCAAATATTCATTGCAAATCTACCCAATATATTGTTTGCATGTAAAAATATACATACATTCATATAACAGTCTCCTAACTTCACTGCAAACATTCTTCTTATTTTTATCCATAAATATTTTAAATAATGAATGGAACATCACATTTCGTTGTCCTAGTCTCTGCTGAACAATTTACTTAGCATTCCATTTATTCACATGCATGTTTTACTTAAATCAAACTTAGTATATTTAGAAACCATCCTTCTATTGTATATCATATTCACACAAAACATTCAATCACTCAGGTCTATGCACGTTATCATATGCATTCTCTAAATCAGCGGTCCCCAACCTTTCTAACTCATGGACTGACAGTGGTGGCAGCGGAGGTGATGGAGGGGTGGGGGGAGGGATAGTTTCACATGCAACTTAGATCCTGCACATGTACAAATGAACTGCACGCATGCCTGCAGTTTGTGTGGCCTGATTCCCATTGGGCCGCGAACCAGTACCATTCGCTGTCCAAGGGTTGAGGACTCTTGCCCTAAATCACTGAACTTTTCTTCTCAGTCTTATATTTCTCATATTTCTGGCTAAGACAAAAGTCTAGTCTGTAAACTCCCTGCGTGGCATAAACTTTTGCTATACTTCTCAAATTTTGCTCAGCAGGCTCCTAAATATGATACATTGATCTAAAATGCAGCATTAGAAAGATACTGAAGCCTTATAGATGTGTCAGAATTTTGCTGGGAATTTTCAGTCAGTATGATGAAGCTCTGTATAAAGAAATGAAGGCATATGTCTATTGTGCTGCGATGATACAAGGTTGAGAATTCAGTCATTTTTGTACAGGAACATTCAAGATGCCCAAATTTAAATACTGGAGCACTAGAGAAGTACAATCTGATCACAATAGGGTGAAACATCAGCTAAGTAACTAGCTGTTGCTCACTAAATTGGCCAATCTCATTCAGTTTGGGTGAATATGGTTTTGTGCATGATAGTTAATATTTCATTAACATGTTGAATATTTACAGCTATCATTTCCAAGTGAGAGAGTAGCCTGGATTGTTACAGATGCTATTATATTACTGATGTTTAAAGCAACTAGGTTTTGGTGTGAACTGCATTTATGTCATAATACAACATGTAAAATAGTATTTTGGTTTTACTAGCAATACAGAGGATTGTGTATCAAATGCCATTATTAAGCTTTATTCATGAAGCTGAAGTCTAAGGTAGAGAATGATTAAAGGAGTCCCTAGAGACCCTAAACATTAAGAAAACATTTCACTGCTCAACCAGGGCATCAAACTGGAAGGAGGAGGAGGAGGAGGAGGAGGAGGAGGAGGAGGAGGAGGAGGAGGAGGAGGAGGAGGAGGAGGAGGAGGAGGAGGAGGAATAATAATAATATAGGATCTTAGATTATCCTTAACAATATACAGAGTAGCCATAAAACTGTATACAATCATTTCTGGAATGATAGAAATATGTGTTTTGCATTAGGAACATATACACTACTTTCATGATTGTTCATATTAGAATAGCTTAGTACAATGGTTCCCAAATTATAAACTGCAACACTCCCAGGGTGTGATAGACATTTTTTATTTATTTGTTTTCCATTTTTCTCTTCTCTTTTTCTTTTTATTATTAACTTTAAGGATTTACTTATTAAATTTATTTGCTGTGGGTCTACTATGGGCAGCTTGCAAGATGGGGAAAAAATATAAGATATCATCATAGCAAAGGAATACAGCAATAAAAATAAACAATGGAAGCATAGTAATATGAAATTTAAAAAAATTGTTTAATTTATTTTGGCATTTTGGCTATATTTTGTATTCTTCTAAAAAAATAAAGAATTAAAAATTTCTGCAGTTCAGCTTAGAGTGGGCTAACAAAGGGGACTTCCAGATTATGTCTCACTGACTACACTGCAGGATGAACCTCTTATGAAAGTCTTTTGACCTTATAGGTCAAATTTCTTTGTTTTTTAACTTCTTCAAGCCTTTTTGTCAGTAAAAAAAAGATCGAACTTGGGAGTACTAAGAAGCACTCCTTTATACACTGAAATACAGGTAGTCCTCCACTTATGACCACAACTGAGCCCAAAAATTCTGTTGCTAAGTAAGGCAGTTGTTAAGTGAGTTTTGCCCCATTTTATGACCTTTTTGCACTGCTGATAAGTGAATCGCTGTGGTGATTAAATGAATTATGCAGTCATTAAGCAAATAGATTCTGACTTCCCCTATTGACTTTGCTTATCAGAAGCTGGCTGGGAAGGTTACAAATGGTGATCAAATGACTCTGGGACAGTGCAGCTGTCATAAATACATACCAGTTGCCAAGTGCCTGAATTTTGATCACATAACCATGAGGGTGCTGCAATGGTTATAAAGGTGAAAACCAGTAATAAGTCACTTTTTCAGTTCTCTTGTAACTTTGAATAGTTATTAAATGAATGGTTGAAAGTTAAGGGTTACCTGTAAGCATACAACATCCTGATTGCCATTCCCAATGGTTGGATTTACTCCTACAGTACCCAAGGAAACCACATTATGGCTTCATGGGTAATGTGACTCAGGCCAACAATGAAGTATATTGCATCTGCCTGCAAGTTGCATTAATCTTATAAATATCTAAACTGAAATGAGTAATCTCACTGTATAATGTGGCCCTTTCTCTCTCTCGCACGCACACACACACATCTATCCATTCACACATATACTTAAATATTTTTGGAGAAGATTCCTGAGAGTACTGGACAGCCAAGAAAACAAACAAACGGATCATAGAACAAATCAATCCAGAATTCTCATTCAAGGAGCAAATGGCCAGAAACAGGTTTCTTTACTTCTTCCAAATAATAGGAAGTCCCAGCTCTTTGGAAAAGGCTCTAATGTTGTGAAAAGTGGAAAGAAACAGAGGAAGAGACCGATCAGCAGCAAGGTGGATGAACTCAGTTACAGTGGTGATGGGTGCACCATTAGGAGACTTGAAAGAACAGATTAGGGACACCTCAGCATGGAGAAAATCTATTCATGTGGTCACTAGGATTATAAAACTTCTTGGTGGCACATAATCACATATAGACACAGAAATACACACACACACACACACACACACACAGAGAGAGAGAGAGAGAGAGAGAGAGAGAGAGAGAGAGAGAGAGTCTACCTACCTACCTATCTCACCTAATCACCTCGCCACTCCAGAATGCGTGTTATCGGCCCCAGGAAAGTCTGCCCAGCGAGATTTACTGCTTGTTGCCTAGGAAACAAGAGGGGGGGTTCTAGAGATCGAGCCGCGCTTGCTCAGCTACCTGACGCTGCGACCGAGAAGATGCCATTCGACACCTGGAGCATTCCCTAGTCTCCGCCCCGCTGAAGAAGGTTGCGTAGAAGGAAGGCGACGGTGGCCGCCAGGCAACAAACCGCGGAACGCTGGACATCGGCGGAATTAGCCGGGAGCACCGGAAGGCAGATCCGCGCTTCGCCCTAGGCTGGTCTGAGCGATTTGTGGTCTCTCTTTCCTTTGGGGCTCGGTACTTGGGAAAATCTAAGTAGATGGGCGAAGCTATTTCTCCGGCTTAGCAGCTGTTCTCCGCGAAAAAGCTAAGTCTACCGAGAAAATAAACTGCGGAGGGGAAACGCGCATTTCCTTATTCGCCCTCTTGGCCAGGGCCCACGTCCTCCGATAGCTGCCATCCCAAGGCCTTGCGAAAACCTTCATTGCGTGGGCATACCCGCGCTCTTACACGCAGGGTTAGTAACTCAGACCTGGAGACTCTATTAAGCTCGCAAAATAGATGGTAACGCCATGAAAAAGTTAAAGTCTGTGTTAAGGGCTTGATTGGAAGAACATCTCTGCGCCTGCATCCCAACCCTCGCGTACTGGGACAGGACCTTTGACCAAAGAGCCAAGCCCCACAGAGAAGGAGACGAGCAAATAGTCACCTAGAAGCTAACAGTTGGTGGGGGCAAACGGGTGGGATATCAATAAGTGGCTGATCAAGAAAGGTCTCCAATCCTTGTCAAAATACAAGGCTTTCTTTTGAAAGAATTTTATAATCTGGGGTCATATAATATTCATGTTTTAGTTTTGATTTTGATTATCCTTGTCTGTAACAAAATTGTGCTTATTCATCTGCCAAAGTTATGGCTAGAAAGGCATAAGAGCCCTCCTGTCCAGGATTTAAAATTACTTGATCCCATCATTTCATATATGGTATTCTCTACCTTTCTTTCTTCCTTTGAAAAAGTGTCATCTTTTTACATTTTTTGAATTCTTGATGTTTCCTGTCACTCCAGCACTGCAATATTCTCCTCTGAATTGAATTGAAGGTGGGGGGGGAGGAGAAGGAGGAAAAGGACTGTTACTATTTCACTCAGATTGATTGACTGCACGTAATGAATTGGATAAATAAAAGATAAAAATCAAATAAGGGATTTTCTGTTTGGAAAAATGGAAGCAGGTACATAAGTAGGATACACTTTATAAGCTTAGTACAGATGGAAATGTATGACGTGCCACATATATAGTTTGCTTTATACCACTGACTCTTAACATTATTTTATTTAATTATAAGCTGGCTGTTTAGATAATGTCTGGCACTAAGGTTGCTGTGTTTAGTGCAAATACAGTGTTTTGTGTGCATCTAAAGGGTAAACATTAAAGGCTGTAACAGCATTGCCTTTTCAATAGGTTAGGTTCCTCTCTTGAAGCAAATATCTATTTGACTCATAGGAATGAAATGGTAATTCCAGTTATTCTAATATTTTAGAATCTTTAATACTTTGGACTATTAGAATTCATAGTAGGCTCATACAGATGTTCACCTTTTCCATTTTTGAAATCTCTATGGATGGTTGGTTGGTTTTTTCTTAGCTATATTTTGTTTATATATATTATGTTTCATCTGATCACTGACTGGAATTATTATTATCTGTCTATCTATGTACCACTAGAATTAAGTCTGAAATACATGAGAGCTTATGGCAAATGTGGATTATACAATGCAGCCACTTGGGGGCAGGAGAATACCTTCTCCCAGCTTTGCCAAACCTAAATAAAGAACATTTTCAGAGCCATTCTATTGTTTTTATGAGTACTTGATTTTATGAAGGAATTATCTCACTTGCTCTCTTGTTTCTTCTTGTACAGCTGCTACAAAACATCTATACCGTACATTGTAGAAAACCTCAAAACTCACTCTTAGGAAAATTACTAAACTCCCAGGATAAAGAACAGTGCTTCTCTTAGGATGCTGGGGAACATTACAGAATGCTGGTACTGCATTTCCATATAGCTGATACTTCTGTATTTACGTTTTGTTTGTTTACTTTTTTGTGATAGGTGGAAAGCTGGACCTGACCTATTTTTGATCACCACATTGCTGCTATAGAACTCTTGGTTTCGGGTCACCTCCCATAGATAGCCCTGACTTGACTTCTGTGGCTTTAAATACATTTTGAGTCATTGCTTTAATAATACAATTCACATATATTTTGAGAGTAAGCAAGCCTGAGTATAATGCTGAAAATAAGATGATTGAAATAAAAGTTATGCCTAACTTTAGTTTTTGTCAGCATCTTCTTCTTGTTGTGCCATATCCGTTATTGGACATTGGCGATCATGTTGGCGATCCTGTTTTTATCAGCAGCTGCACGAAAAAGTGCTGCTGAGTTTGTCCAAACCAGTCTCTTAGATTTTGAAGCCATGATGTTTTGAAGCCATGATTTGTCAGCATATATTTTGTTATCTAGTTTATTTATTTTTCTGATTTTTTTGGTAGGTTTACATTCCACCTTTCCTCCAGGAGCTCAATAAGGCATACTTAACACATTTTCCCAGAAATGAATCCTAAATTTACATAGTAATTTGTGATCCTGTGCCAAAAAGTATGTTTCTAAGCCTTATTGGGTATGGGACACTTCTAAAGAGACACCCCAAATTCTCTGAAGCATCTGTCTTCATTAATACTTTTACAGTGATCATTCCTTCCCTTGAATCAACCACCAATCCTTCCAGCTGACCAATAGAAGGGGGCCAAATTCGGCATCTAGCAGCACCCTAGTTCCATGTTTATCAATGCTTTGTTGCAGCATGGGCTAACTCATCTCAGCCAACTCACCATGGTCAACTCACCATGGCCAATTTGCCACAGCCAACTTACCATGGCCACCTTGCCATGGGACAACTCACTGTGGGACAATTCAACAATTATTTTAATTTTTGTCATTCACATTTTATTTTGTACCTCCTTTAGCATCCTTTAATGATTCTGTTCAATTATTTCTTTGATATTAATGTAAATCTTGTCCCATGGCGAGTTGTCCTGTGGCGAGTTAGCTACGGCTAGTTGGCCATGGTGAGTTGTCGTAAACCCGTTTTATTGTGCTATTTTTTTTAAAGAAGAAGAAGAAACAAAGGAGTCATTTAATTTAAAAAGCAAGATTAAGAAACATTTAATTTTTAAAAAGCATGGTAACGTATCAAAGTGGCTGTCTTCACATCAGGGAGGTGGGATGAAATTAGAGTTTTTGCTAATGAGAAGCAGTCCATATTGCAGTTCCAGCATTAATACTGCAAAACTATACCCTAATGCTGGAAGTTAAGCTAATTGACAGCAGAGAATACAAGTGCTGTGAAAAAATATGAACTCAGTGAGGACCAATGTTAGATCAGCAAAAATGTCTCATGTGGAGGAAACATGCGTTTTGAGGGGAAACTTTATATTAGCAGATTTTTGACTAATGCCAGAATTGATTATGTTACTGAGCAGTAAAGCTGCTGGTTCAAATGGCAAATGCTGGAAGGTAATACTTTTCCTCTCTCTGGGACACAATGATAGTACACACATTCTCTTCAACTGCTCAGTTATCTGCTGCTGTCTGGGTGGGATCTTATTGTACTGTAATGGTGAAGCAAAACTCAAGGAACCATCCAATTGGCTTCTGTAAATATAATGGAAAGCAGTATCATTTTGTGCTTAACCTCATATACCAAATGCCTTGGACTGGCCTTCATCACCATGGTTGTAGGATGAGGGCACATCTTTTGCTGTGTTCTTCCATCATGCATTTTAGTGAATAGTTTATTAAGTTTGGTACAAAAGAGCATATTGGCAAGTAATAAATAAAACAACGGTGGATGAATTTGACATTAACAACATTCTTAGATATCATACAATATATTTTCTGTTGGAGAGGATGAGACCCTATTTCAAGAGTGATGAATCATAACAAAGTTGCAACATAGAGTGTATCTTAGCATGTTGCCAACCAAGTACTGCCTATAACTATTTCTCTCCAATACAGTTTTGGGTTGATTGAAAAAATGTTTTAAGTCCCTGTATTTGATCAGTTGCATAGATTTGTTTGAAAGGAAAAAGAAGCTCTTTTATTTCCAGAGGCTGTTGGAAATTTACCTTTTCCTCTGAAAGACCTTTTTAGTTGTGTGTCTGAATCCTGTTACTGCCAAGGACACATAATGTCAAGCAAAGTTCAAAGTACAAGTCACTGGTTTGTTTTCCTGAAGCTTTTGTTTGAATTAGATACATTTCTCCCTTATTGGCAGATAATTCAAGTTATTCACAAACAGATGGTGCTTGTATACATAAACAAGCAATACTGGAACACAGGAAGCTGCCGTCTTCCAAATCAAACCATCTAGCAGAATACTATGTCATGATTAGCAGAGGCTCCTCAAGATTTCAAGCAGGAAATTTCCCAGCTTTATTTGGCAAAGCCTGGAATTGAACCTCAAATCTTCTGCATCCAAAACATATAATGTGTCATTGATCTTTTGAGAAAAAATGTTGATAGGGATTTTTTTTTTCATATTCTGATCATGCTTAGCAAGAATTGATTGAGCATCTCTTGAACTTTGGGAATGACAAGACCATTACTCACTTAAATGCCATATAATGAGCTTTAAGAGGCATTTCACTCTCCATGGCTGGTTGAATTCAGAAACCAGTTCTTAACTAAGAACTAGTTTTAATATGGTTCTTAACAATCTATCCAACTGATAGCTTGAATGACAATGCTATTTCAAATCTT